CCCCGAAATAACCCGAAAACCCGAAAAATACGACATAATTTGTTTGTTTTGGTAATCGAAAAACTCGAACTAACCCGACTTATGTACACCCCTAGTAAATGGGTATGTTTAGCCCCTTGCCGTTAAAACTACTTACTTTGTTTACGGAAAGGGCAAAAAATGCCCCTAGATAACGTTAAGGGCATTATAGACCAAAAGGTTAACAGAGGGCATTGATGAGCCATAATCAATACGTTAAGGCATTTTTGGCGCTTTACCATTTTTTTATGGAAAATAAATTCTTGATATCTGAAAAAATCAAATATTATAAATCACAAAAAAAAAAAGGCCAAAAAATCATTTAAAGTGAACCGGAGGGAGTAGTACACTAATAGAAACACGGTCTTTTCCGTCTTTTCCGAGGGAAGAAAACGACAGAAAACCGGCGGCAATGGGTAATTGCACCCTCAATTTGTCATTTTTTAACCTCCATTTTTCAGTTAATGCTATACCCTTTTTTTTTGCGCAGATAATAAGAGGTTTCACATTAATTAATTCTTTGAAAATATATTCTATTATTTTTATTGATAATATATAGCCAAAAGTCTCGGACTCTAGACTCTATGTTGTGCAATGCCTCTCTAAATATGCAAATATGATTCCCAAGTAAGGCAATAGTAACTTAAATGGAAAATCATAAGCATAAAATAAAGACAATGCTAGCATATTATAACAATGTTGTTTGTTCGAAAGTAGAGAACACCAACTACTGTGAAATAAAGAAAGAACCCTTGAATTACCAAATGAAGAACGGTACAATGCAACAATAATAACTATGCCTCAATCCCAAATAAATTAAGGAAACTCAACTAATATCATCATCGTACCAAACAAAATAAACCGTAAGAGTGCTACAATGCAAGCATTACCTACTAACTTTTTATTCCCAAAAACAAAAGACAGAAGATAGTGAATTAATTAAGTGTCAAGAAAATGGCACTTAATTAATTAACAAGACCTAGTGCAAAAGCACTTTCTTTGCCAGCCAATGCAGTCACCGCCGGTGAAGCCTTCGCCACGGCACACTTCAGCGCAGTTATGGTCACCTAGGCAAGGCCCTTTGTACTTATGGCTTTGTGAGATGCACACTCTTCCCTCGACTCGTGGGATCGCCATTTCTGCACCCATAAAAATAAAATATTTTTTTTAAAAAAAAAAAAAAAATTGAGATCAATATGCAAAATTGCAAGTTGATTTCATCGTATGGTCAATTAACTTTTACCAATATAATAGTAAAGTTACAAATTTATCATTAAGTAACTGAACTCTATCTATTACAGCTAGATCTCTCTATAACAGCATTCATATATAACAACACTTCAGTATAAAAGCTAAGCTTTTTCGGAACCAATTTTCATGCTATGTTATAATATATGTTCTCTATATCAGCACTTCGCTATAACATTCAATAATATTCAGAACAAACGAGGTTATTATAGAGAGGTTTGAGGAGTGTATAACAGGAAAGTCACAAAATGTCATCCATTATAACAGCAAGTCATAAAGCTAGTTTTATCATAGTAAATAAGTAAATTTTACCCACTATAACAATAAAATTTCTAAAGTTTATCAACTATAATAATAAATTACCTAGCGAAGGTGACTTTACTATTATAGCAAGTAAAGTGACCAAGATTTATCCTTTATATCGAGATTAAAATCGACAAATATGGAACTATATTAGTAGTAAAAAAAAAGATAGATTAGGTTTGAGTAACGTGAGAGTATTGAGTGTTAGTAAAGAGAAGAAATGTATTAATCTGTACAGAAGATATGTAAATATCATGGACCATGGTAAGAGTAATAACAGACGTGAGCGGCAATATGGGATAATTCAAAATAATAAAAGAGTGTATAAGAAACATTTTAAAGTAAAATTATAAACATTATTCTAAATATCAATTCACGTAAAAGAGAAAAACAATATAGGGACTTACGTGAGGCGAACAAAATAAGAAGGCAAAACAAAAGACCATAAGTTTTCCTCTCCATATTTTTCACTGACTCTGTAAATAAACTCACACTGATTTTTTCGAATTATTCGGATTTGACATTCTAAGACAAATGAAGATCACTATAAATAGAGAAATGGAAGCACCAGTGGCATAATGTTACTGTCCTCAGTGTAGTAAAAAAGGACAAATTTACTCTTTAGATTATTTAATGCTAGCTTTTACTTAAATCTCGAAAAAATGGAAGTGCATGGTATCATTTCGTGCACAAAAATTTGAAATTTTATTTGTCCATTTTCGGTGAAAAACTATCTATATATAATTAAATGACTTATAAATTAATTATAAATAAATATGTATAATACGTATTAATTTATAATTTAATAAAAATGGATGACTAACGTGCTATTACAAATTAAAATAAACTACTGGTGTAAAAAAAATTTACATTGTAAGTTTATATATATAACTTAGTTCCTTACACAAAACAATGCTTTCAATTTGTGTTCTTTCTCGTGCAACACTTAAACCAAGTGAAGAAACATCATACTATTTCTTTTAATTTCTCTTTCCCATTTTATTTGATTTTCAAATCTTGGGAAAACATCACACATTTGATATTTTATTTTTCTTATGTTATTCCTAGAGTCGTACATTTGCTTTTCATCTAATCCTCCCTCACAGTTATAAGTATAAATTTTTTTAAATTACATAAATATTATTAATAAAATGGTTGAGTTTTTTTAAAAAAAATTATATAAAAAATATTGATTACTTAGTCAACAAAGGAGTGGATGACCTAGCTAAACATGAAAACAACCTAGATAATTTTAAAAGGTCAGTGATCTATCATGTATCGTGTATCCTCTTCTTTTGTTTTAACTTATTATGAAAATGATTGTCTAGGTAATTCACAATAAACTTCAAATTTTAGAATATTAGTTTATCTAAAATCTTACTCGATATTAAATTCTTAAATAGTAAAATTTTTCTATAGTTAAAATAAAAAATAGATTTAATAATCAAACTTTAATTAATTAAAAGCCCTAACTGTTATGAAAATATTAGATGGCGTTTTTGTAGAGAGTAGCTTCTTTTTATAAAAGTCTTCTGGTATATAATTCGGTAAGAAAAAGATTTATGTAAGTTAAAATTGTATTATATTCCAAATAGACAAAGAAATTTTTTTATTAAATAATAAAGACTCCTAAACCTAAAAAGAATATAAAGTGTTTTTTTAGTTATATGAAATATTCTCACTTTTTTAATCATTTCTTTCCTTCTTTTTTTCTTTTTCTCTTTTTTATAATTTTTATTTATTCGTTTTGTCCTACATGTTTCTGGAAGTCCTAATGTAAATTTGCAATATTTCAACCCCCCAAAAAAAAAGATTCCTAATACGACGTATAGGAAGCTTTTAATATAGTATTGATATTTACATTAAGTTATGCGAAACGTCTCTACATTACTTACTTTATGTATGATAGAATGTGAAATAAAAAAAATTGTATAGTAATGCGGGGTTAAATTATTTAAAGATAAAAATACCCTTCAAAATAAGTAATCCATGTATAGTAATATCATTATTATTAATTATCACATATTAATTCCTTTATTAATTATTAATAACCTCACAAAAAATCTCTTCATTATAATTTTCACATAAGTAGTACTACCTCGTTTCGAACACAGACCGACTGACTGTTTGGCTGACTAAGTTTTAGTATTCAGAGGAGAATCACGTGACAGCGCAAAACTAAGCATTAATGAAAATTAGCTCCGAAATAATTAAGGTTTTAAAAAGTGTAAATACAGACAAATTAAATTAAAACCCGACAAGAGTGTGACAGTGATCGGTGCATTAAAGATGAAAGGGCGTGCATGGACGGCTACGACTCGAAAATCAAACCAGATCTATGGGTTGTTGGTGGGATATTATAATGGCGATTTAAATTATATTTACTGTCAGTATAAATAATTTTATACATCGTTAGTGTAATTTAATCTGTTATAATGCATTGTTTCATTATTTATTCTAAGTTATAATATTTTTTACATCGCTAATACATAGAACTTAGATTCTCATATTAAATTTTAAATTAAAAAATGGGCAGTATGGTGCTCAATAAGAGCCTAAAGTTGTGATTATCAATGTAAATCCTGAGTCAGTCTTTGGCTTTTAGTGAAATATGTTAGCAATATGGGTACTTGTATAAGCTTTTTACTGATTTAATTAGGGCAACAAGTTCCATCAGGTGATACTTTAGTAGATTCTCTTAGTTTCATAGAAAATTATAACAACGACAAAAAACCCAATGGAATCCAACAAGTGGAGTATATGGAGAGTAATGTGGACGGAAATCTTACCTCTACCTTATGAAGGTGAAGAGGTTGTTTCTGACAGACCATCGGCTCAAGAACAGTGAAAGAAAGCAATAACCAATTAATAGCAAAAACAAGAAAAAAGGCAACAGGAGAAAATCGCAAAACATGTAACGACCGAGAACAAGGACTACGAGAATACAAGACTAGTGTCAACTACTGGTAATAGTGACGATGCATCGTGTAGTAGCAAGGAACTAGGAGTAGAAAAATATAAGACTAGTGCTAATATTACTAGTAGGACAAGGAGGAACTCCTGACTACCTGTTACATAGAAAACTATTAACTGCAAAATACAAAGTGAAAAATCGTAAGATATCAAACTTCACCAGAAAAGCATATGGAGGCCCCTCTATCCCTCTTTTTGATTTCATGCCTCTGTTTTTTTGGTAAACTGGCGAATTTATTTAAGTGTTAAAGTAACATTACAAGCAGTACAAGTGCTAAATGCACTGATAGCAGGAGTGCTAGACGCACAAAGAGTTACCTAAGTATGCTAATAATCGGCAACTACTTAACAACTAAAGTATTTTTATGCATAAAGAATACGGAGCATATGGCATAAAGAAGCATGCAGCATATGGAGTTGTGGAACAACTACAGTATTTTTATGCATTTTCCCTCTATATTTTTAATTTAGATATGTGATCGACTCATTTACTTCTATTATGTCAAATATTAATTACCACAATTGAAATTATGGTCCTTATTTATAGTGATAATGAGAAATTTGCCTTCTCAATCATGTCTGAGATCTAACATTCTAGGTGTTTAACCGAAAAATTGTTAAACCCTTTGGTTAAACTAATTAATAGATGGATAGAAGGTAAATCTTAGCCAAATATAATTAACTCTAGATCCAAACATAATGAATACGAAAATTGGAGAAGAACAAGCTAATTTAATATTTCTTAAGACGATTATCATACATCAAATGTAAATGATAAGCTTACATCTATGACAGGTTTGCACCATAATCATAAGAGCACAGAAGGAGAAGAGAAAAAGCTGTTGATGGCTAAGAGATCCCCCTTCGTTGGTTCGGTAACGATGACTATAGATGTTGTAGCCAAATCTGGGTTCAGATCTCCTCTCATGGTCTCCTACCTCTCTATATATATATTAACAATTTTTCCTTTTAACCAATGGTCTTTGACCGGCATGCTTTCTCATGATTGTGTCCTTCATTACTTACCCAAACATTACACGTGTTCTGCAATGTAAGCTTTCTGACGGCTTGATCTCGGGTATGACCGTAGTACTCGTCGCCATTACGCCTCGTGGGCACGACCATCGCTGGGTCGACCTCTTACCGTCCCCTTCAATGATAACCAATTAGTGGTCAAATTTTGACCCATACAGTTAGTCCCTCTGCCCGTTGGGGTCGTCTTTTAGCGAGCTCAATAGGCGGACCCAGTGAATTCAAGAGTTAGGAGAAATCTGGTCATTATGAGAGGACGGCGTCCTTATGGCGAGGTGGCGACGTGATGTTTTAAGCACTTTACCGGACCGTTACGTCAGTTCGGAGATGGATCATCACGTCGATTCAAGGTACCATGAATGCGCGTTATGCGTCATTACGACGCACGTTTCCCAAGCACTGTATCGTTTCTTGTGCCCTTTCAGCTTTTTGATTGGCGGCTCTCGGGTTTCCCGCTCAGGGCATTTGTGTTCCTATAAATAGGGGGAGCCCACCATTCGATTGTTACGCTTTTCGATTTACTTGAGGAATTTTGCAAACTTCCACCTTCTTCAGTATTTCACACTTCTGCTTTCGTCAAAATTTGACGTGACCATCCTCTCTATTCCTTCATCACTCTTGTTTATTTCGATCGAGCTAGACAAATGGCTGGTACTTCTTCCCAGACTGACAGATTCGCCGAAGCTCCGGTACCGGAAAATGACGTATCTCTTCTTGGGGAGGGAATGGAGACAACAGAAGATGAGGGATTTTCGACGGTGGCTGAGATACTACCTCATCAGGGGAAATTATGGACTGACTTTAACAGCCCTGCCGGAGACAAGTCGGAACCTGTCCCTTCCACCATGGATGAAGCGGCGATTACGGCGCTCAAGGCTAAGTGGGGAATTCCAAATCATATCGAAATGGTACCAGCGGCGGGGACGGACATTGTACATTTTCACCACCCGAGGTACTGCGCATTTTACGCGTATCCTTTTGTTGTCGGATATACGCTTCTTCTCCCCTCTCTAGTGCTAGACTTCTGCCGTTTCTACGAAGTGTGCCCGGCTCAACTCTCACTGTATGCATACAAGCTCTTCCTCATGCTCATCAAGTGTGCGGAGCTCGCCAGTCGAGGGATTACTTTGGGGCACATGCTTCATATTTTTGCCCCTCAATTTCTTCGGGGCATGATGATCCACATAAGCCATCGAGGAACAAAGAGTTTGGTGGTGAAGATGGACGATAACGCTAATTTCCGCTTCTGGGAAAGCTATTTTAATGTGCAGACAGAGCACCTTGTGCCGGACTCAGCAGGGTTCCCTGAGACGTGGAACTACGCTCGTAAGTTTTCCTTTGTTTATTTTGCGATTCCTCTCAAGGCGGTCGTCGTTCGTTCTTCTCTAGGTGATATTACTAAGGACTTGTTTTCGTTTTTGCAGCCGAGAGACTACCTCCCCCGCTAATTGACGACATCCGCAAGTGGGTGAACGCAATTCTTCCCCACACAATGGGTATTCGTGAGTGGGCCTCCTTCTACGAGAAATATGGGCGTA